ATATATATATATATATGAAGAATTAAATAACTTTAAGAGTAACTCTTATTTAAATTACTCCATTCAATAATTTATGATATATATTAAATTTTAATAATCTAACCGTTAAATTAAACATTTTTAATGTATAAATCAAGTTTACAAAATTTTAAAAAAATTAAAAATTGTACAATATTTCGATATATAGATTCAAATTAATGTATAAAATACATTTATATTTATTCATCAATTGAAACTAACAAAATGAAATATCAAATAATTTTTATGAATTTTAAAAATTTGAAGACTTGATCTATACATTAAAATTTTTAATTTAATAGTTGAATTGTTAAAATTCAACATACATCATAAGTTACTGAGTTAAGTATTATTGACTTAGTCTATGCATTATTGACCACATTAACTAAGTAAGTTAAGATAACATAATATTTGTACTATAGTAAAATATTAATTAGATTCTTACATACCCTCAATTGGGTGGATAACTTGTATAAAAAACATGATTTTCTAGGAATATTTTTTAGATGATAAATCAAATGTAAGAAATTAAGAGAATATTTGGTACATGAATTTTTTTTTAAGCTTGATAATCATGATTCTTAAGAATTGTAAATCTTGGAAATTATTTTCTAAGAATGATTAAAATTTGTTTGGTTGGTCTAATTTTTTTTATAAATATTTATAATGTTATTTGAGAATCAAATTTTTTTTATTGCATTAAATAGATAAATAAAAGTAATATGACATTTTTCAAAAATTTTTATCCCATCAAATAAGCAAATAAAGACATGACTTTTTTGTCAGAATAAAAATTTTCATTTAACTTGAAAATATAGTTAATATTCTCACTTATCTCATGAAAACGATTTCATGGGAAACATAGGTAAAAACATTCTTTAGAAATGTTTCCTAATAATGTTATTTTTTAAATAATAAATCAAACGTAAGAAACAAACTTTTCAAATATCTTATTCTTGGAAAAGTAAAAATAGTTTTTGTACCAAAGTGCTTCCTAACATTCACAACTTCATATTTCTAGAAAAATAAAAACATTTTATGTATAAAATGCTCCCTTATAATTTCATTTTTGTTATTGTAATATAAATATAACTACTTTGACCCATAGGAGACCTATGTGCACTTGAGAGGTGCGATTGCACCATTGACTTTAAGGATAATACATATTCTTGTATTGAGTTATAATTTTTTTTACCTCTTCTAAATTTATAATTTTAACTGATGTCCTTAATTTCTGAATTTTTAGAAAATTTCTTGGTTGTCCTTATTGGACAGATGATTTTGGTGTCCTTTCAAGAAAACACCAATGACGTTTGGACACATATTTTAATTGTATATATATTAATTATCGTTGTTTCTGAATTTATACCTGTCTCATTAACTCGAATGGGATGACGGATGGATTTTGAAATCCACAATTTGTGATCCAAATGCAAGGACAATTATTGTTCATAGTGCAAATATGTGATAAAGAGTTTTTGGTTAATAACCATGATTTGAATGCCCTTACTTCTTTTTACTATCCAGCCGTTGTCACCTTTTTTTTTTTGTTAAGTGTAGATAGTCGATAACCACCTGTGGTTTTAGTTTTGCCTTTGTCCTTGTTGTGTCCACTAGTGAAGGGTTATTGGTGCAAAGAAGGATTACCGTTTTCGCCCACGTACGCCTTCTTAAGTCGTTTTCACTGATTATTGCAGGCAAACACTCACCGATGTCTTTCTTTATGCAAATCACAAAAAATGTAGTTATCATGATGGTTTTCAACTATAGCTACTTAAATAAAGGGACAATGGCGTTTTTGTTCTTTGACAACAAGTCAAATGTGAAATGAAAGGATATCCAACAAGGACAATGAATAAGGTTTTTAAGCAGTTTGCACCACAAACAATGCATGTCTCTATTTTCGGGTTTGACAATTTCAAATTCATTTGTTTATGCTGGATCCACCCAATTTGGGCTAATGAAAATGATCAAAAATTCAAAGGTAAACATGACATGGACAACTCAAATTTGTGTCCAAACCTCATTGGGACTTTCTTGAAGCAGCACCAAAATCCGTTGTCCAAAAAGGCCACAAAAGAAATTTTTAAATTTTTATCTTTTATTAACTATTCTTTTTTTTTTTATTATTTATTTTACTCTCTTTTTATTAATACCGATGGAAAACGAGGCTTGTATGTCACCTTTTTCTCATCGAATTTAACAAAAATCGACGTAAAAAAGATGCGGTGACATTTTTATAATTTTTGCGAACTTTTTTATAGTAGGGTCCAACGTAAAATGTAAAATCTACGTCGGACACAACATACAACCGACGTAGATTTTATATTTTACGTCGGACCTTACCAGGTTTGACGTAAAAAAAGTAGCGAAAGCGAATAAAAAGAGTGCATGAGAGGCACACGGAAGCACGCACTCACTCGGATTTCATCACTTTTCTAGATTCTTCTCTGTATAAACCCTCTCCCTCTCGTTTGTTGTTAAATCATTTTTTCTATTTTCTGCAGAGTGGGGTGAACTCTTCATTACTCGTTCGCACATTGTTGTAGCTCAGGTATGAATTGCTAACACCTTTTTGCTTCGTATTGCTATTGTGGCTATTTGTTCTATTCGGTCTTTATGTTGTTCTATTTGTTTGGGTTGTTGGCCTTTTCTTCTAGATTGTTCTATCAAGTAGAACAGCCCGTTCTCCAAGCAGAATGACCCGTTCTCCAAGCAAAACGGCCTGTTCTGCTTGCACTCATTATTTTTTTTTTGTTTACAACTTTTTATGTCGGATCTTGGCAATGCCCGACGTAAATTTACGTCGGATTTCACAAATGACGTAAACGTAAATTTACGTCTCCCGCTTTAACGTCGGACTTTTTTTTAACATAAAAAACTTAAAATAACCAACGTAAATTACTTCTTTTGTACTAGTCTATTAATAAGTATTTTTTCTTTTTTATGTAATATTTATATTTTTTTTATATAATAATAATTATTTTTTTATTATAAATAATCTGTCTTCATTGACTCCAGGTCCTAAGTCTGTCATTAAATTGTGATGGTAATTTAAATTGCGACATTTCCCCATCTCTGTCTCTCAAATTAAAAAAATTAATACCCCATTAATAAAAGAAACTCGAGTATTTGTTTTACAAATTAAAATATTATTCTTAAAAATATGATTCTAAAAAGATTAAATTCTCACATATATATATATTTGTCAGGAGTTTTAAAAATATATTACGTATATTCTTAAAAAAAAATAGTTATATCACTTTTAAGCCATTTTGATAGGAGATGAGAGAGTTACATTTCCATGAAATGGTGAAAGTTATTATTTAACTATAATTATATTTTAACTTTAACTTTTTATTTTAATTATTTTAAAATTTAAAATATTCCAAAAAATGTTTAAATATAACTAAACATATATAATTAAAATATTCCCATAAATTGAATATTATTTCGTAAAACAACCACTCCTTAAAACCTAAAACGAAAGATCATTAAAGATTATTTTATTATTGTTAGGCGTACTCGAAAATCATGTGACTCGAAAAGATTGATAGCCCTGCCTGAGAAGTAAAATCAACACATGCTGAATACTTGTGACTAATCTCATGTGGGGCGTGAGAGCACTCGAAATTATGGGACTCGAAAAAACAAGTGTTGCTCGAGAATAGTTGAAAAGTTGAGACTCAGAACATGGAGGTTAAGCCAAAACGGTTACCAAAAAATCAATCGAGGAAACAAGGAACGTGGGAAGAGCGGTTAAAGGAAGTTGTGAGTCAAGACCACGTAGCAAATATAGTGGATAGCGGTTATGAGTCAAAAGCGTACATGTACAGAATTAACCGCCCTTGATTGCTCTATAAATACAAGGAGGACGGACCCTTACGGAGGTCGGAAAACTCATACTCTAACCAAATTCTGAAGCATTCTCTGCCTGCACATATGGCTTCCATGCGAGGAATCATCTTTGGGTAT